CCTCTCTCTCTCTCTCTCTCTCTCTCTCTCTCTCTCTCTCTCTCTCTCTCTCTCTCTCTCTCCTCTCTCTCTCTCTCTCTCTCTCTCTCTCTCTCTCTCTCTCTCTCTCTCTCTCTCTCTCTCTCTCTCTCTCTCTCTCTCTCTCTCTCTCTCTCTCTCTCTCTCTCTCTCTCTCTCTCTCTCTCTCTCTCTCTCTCTCTCTCTCTCTCTCTCTCTCTCTCTCTCTCTCTCTCTCTCTCTCTCTCTCTCTCTCTCTCTCTCTCTCTCTCTCTCTCTCTCTCTCTCTCTCTCTCTCTCTCTCTCTCTCTCTCTCTCTCTCTCTCTTAAATCATCGTAATATTTGGCGCATATTTCTTGCAGCCCTTAGGGCAAGCATGAATAACGTACGCCATGCGGCTGGGTGTGTTGGCAGGAAGCACCGCGTACCAACCCCTACGGACCGCGACTGACCGGTCTCGGGTCAGGTAGCGCCTCAGGCAACGGCCAGCCGAGGCGGAGCTTAGCTCCAACGTCACACTATGGCTCCGCCCTTGTGGAGTAGCCTCTGCTCACCGAGAGAGTTTCAGGAGCAAAACTTAACATTACGAGTGAACGGGAAGTGCCCTAAATATTGATCGGACATTGAAAAACCTTAGTAATAAAAATTAGGCCGGGGTCTGAAACGTCCATTGCCGAAGTTTCGTTCTTGAGAGGCAACGCATTCAAAAGTTATTGCGAAAAAGTCGCGTCCCACGCGGTTTGACGTCCACAGTAGCTGCGTGGAGGCTGTCCCGGAAGATTGGTGTGCTGGATGCTATGGCTATGAGGGCACCTAGCCCGTCTTTTCCCAGTACCTATTCCTTGCTAGTTTTTTTTTTAGCTTTTTGTGATTGGCGATGGTATCGATTGCTAATATCGACTCGAGGCAGCTACAAGCTCGATGGAGAGAAACGGATGGCATCATTTTCATTACACCAATTTAACACCGGTATTTTGTGTTGTTTTTTTTTTCGGAGATATGTGTGGCATGCGAGCTAATAGAAAAGTAATCGTGTAGCAAATGAACTTACTGGTTATGCTGCTACTGTGAATACCATTTCGGGGTCCAATTACATTTCCGGTCGGTTCCAGCCCAGTCTAGGACTCTTCTTCCACACAGTTTCCTTTGCTATGCCTCAGTTCCCGGCCTGCTCAGTTTTGTTCCCATTTACGTCGAAGTTCGTCTTCCGTCGCGTCGTGATAGCGCCGCGCCGTAAGCCGTATTGACCGCAGACAACTCCAATACGCCGGACGTTCAATGACTCATCTGGGAGGGGTGTGGGCCGTCAATCTTTGACGTTTTACCCAAACAACTGACGACCAACTCTGCCTCGCATCGGCCGAGCACCAGCCGCTGCTCAAAGATGGAGTCGTAGCACCAACTGTCGGCCTTTTTACCAAAGTGACATTGAGCTAACGCTTGTCAAAGGTTGCGTTGAAACAAAGCACTCAGTGTGAATTTATTATTTAATAACAGTGGAATGTTTTTGATACTGTCAAAGTGTGGGCGCTTATTAGTTCTGATTTTTGGATTGATCAACGAAATTTCTGCACTGTGTGATGAACCGAAGTTAGGCTTGACCATTGTGGGGTATTCTCGCTTCTCCGTCCATTAGAAATGTTAAAAGTGGCGAGTTCGGAACCGGTGTGCTGCTTTTCAATTTATCTAGCATACCAGTGTAGTTGCTCGATATGTGATTGATTCTGTTAGCAATCACCTTGCCCCATCAACACTCCCCTCACGTTATTTTTCACTGCCGCTGATGTTGTTTCCATCTCTACCATCCACGCATCTCGCGCGGCGCGGCCTCCCCAGCATCCTCCCCCGCTCTCTGAGCTCCCCTTCTCGCAGTCCCCGGGTCCCCGGTCCCTCCACACTCCCAGTTCAGCCGGCAGTATTGATCAGCCCAGCGGACCGGCCACGTGGCGGCCCGGAGAGCACGCCCAGCCTGCCGACAGTGCGCCTAGGAGCGTGTAGAACACCCGACCGAGGGGTCCAAATGGCCGCCGACCGGGTGTGGAGTCCCACGGTCGTGAAAGGGAGAAGAATGAATGAATAACTCATTAGGGTGTTGTGGTGCAGTGTGATAAACATGTGTCCAAGCCTTCCTCTATGGTTCCTCGATGGATGAATCGACACAAATAATTGTTCATAATTTCACCTTTATTTCGGGACGTCACACATTTTCAGATGACATTGATCAATTTAACATTGATGGTTATTGGGTGGTTACGACGAACCTGGGTGCCGCTAAGAAGAGCTTATGCAACACCACGGAATACGGATCCACCACCGCACTGAAAGAACATTTTTTTTTTAAGGCTGTTAATTGACTTTTGCTTGTTTTTTGTTCCTCGTCTTTTCCCTTCCTCCTTGTAGCTCTGACGCTCATTATTACTGTGTTTACATAGCAAAGCAAATGCTGTCTTTTCAACTACTTTATTTGAGAAGTGCATGGTAATCGTGATTCTGGCGTGATTCTGGCGTGATTCTGCCTGTCACTGTGCGCTGCGGCAGGCCAGGTGCGCCCACGCTGTTTCGTCGTGCAGGCTCTCTCCTGGCTATTATTTACCGTTCACCGTCTGCCGAACTCACTCATGAACTCACTAATAAAGTCATGTTCACTTTCCTTGTGTCATGTTTCAGTGAAATCTGCATAGCTTTCCCTGGTTTTGTTCCGCTTGGGTGGCGATTTATTCCACTAAAGCGTTAGTCAGTTGATGGATAGTTCAGGAACGAAGCTGGATGCAGCGTATCCGCAACTTATGCAAGTTCTAGTGTCCATGAATAGGTTTTAAGCGAACGCAAATATTATAATGCCGTTAACGGGTTGACAGTACGCAGACTCCTTTCTACAGACTTCTGTAGGTGTGATATTCCTGTCAGACTTATCTCGGCCAGTCAGTTCGTTTATTCTTGTCGTCAGTCCCAACTAGTTTCTGTATGCTTTAGATGTGGATTTGGCAGCTTGCCAGGCCAGTCCGTTTCCAAGATATACCGTATCACGTGTTGCTTTACTCGGCCCCTGGCAACCGATTTGTCCCAAACAAGCTCTGATAATAGCTGGTCTGGAATGTGCTGCAGACATCACGTGATGTCTCTCCTGTCACGAACTACCGATTCGTGATGCTTTGGAGTTGTTTTTATCCATCCAGTGAATAACTGAACGGGCACTAGAAAGGCTGGCATATAACACTGCAAGTGAATCTTGTATGGAACCTAGAAACAGACATTTTGGGACGGACGAGACATTTGACCCTCCTCCTGTGTTGAGCCCGGAACACAGTTTTCAAGCGCGCAGACCGCGTTTCAGCTCCCCCTAAAGAACTGATGCGAGACAGCTGGTAGCGATCCCCCGGCGGGTGACTGCCGTCTGCGACTCTGCCCTCCCCCAGTCCTGCAGAGGCCGCTGGCCACATATCCTGTGTCCGGCCAGCTATCACTACCACGTGTCCGGCTCCCGTCGGTGGCTCCTTCCCGCTCAGATAGCTGCAGTCCCCTGCCCTTCCTGTCTGGAATACAGCCTACCACAGATTGGCGAATTTCATCGTGTGGTTGCCCAATTTGTTCTGTGGTTAGGGTCGCGCTGCCACATGTAAATGTAAAATCGGCCCTTTGTGTGAGCTACCGCTATTTGGTGATTGCCAATCAAAACGGCCACCTTATGCCTTATGAATTCCCATTTCGAGGAACTTTTCGACATTTGGTCCATAAAATTCGTCAAAGATATGATGTAGACATCAACTGCACGATACCCATGACATCGACGCAGATGTGTAGGCATGCTCTCCGGTATAAGATTTTGAATCATGCGTCCGCCTAAATGATTATAGCTCGCTGCGTTTGTGTCTCCGAGAGCGTTTGATCCGTGCTGTTCAGGAGTCATTTGGTGCGTGCAGCCCCTAGGGTGTTGGATGCGTGCAGCCCCCCAGGCGTTTGATGCGGCTTGCGTGTGCCTCACGATGATGACCATCACGCTCTCCCATCAGTTTGACATCCGACCAGACAATGCTTTGTTATTGACGCGATCGTGGAATTCAATAGCAAAATGTTGGCAATTCGAACTTCTTCCGGGTTAACGCGGTTGGAGCATGTGCATTGTGCAAGATCTTGCGGTTATATTGTTCAGGAATGTTGATTTTAGACTGTTGACGAAAACCATATCGTGAAAGACTTCGGCATTCCTCCGCGAGTGGCAGTGTCTGTTGTTGTTTATGCTGGCTTTCTGATGAAATGGCCCAATGAACGGTTCGATCTTTCAAGTCTAGTGGTTGTTTCTAGTGGCGGACGCGGAGATAACTGCATTGGTCTGGTGTGGAATTGAATAGATCGACCGAAGTTCGGACTCTGGCTCGATATGAACGATGGTCGGATGTATCAATGGCACGTCTCACTGAGCGGCTCGTTTGAGTGAAAAATTAACTTTATCATGTCTGGGAGAACATTTTAGTGCTCTTAGGTAGCTCATTGATGTTCAATGGTTCACGCCTGCTGGTCACTGAATTCATTGAATTCAGCACTGTGTTCCAAATGCACTTGGTTGCTCACTGCTCAGTTGAGCTACATTTCTGTAACATCTGCATTCCATTGCACATGAAGCTGTTTTCTCAAGATTGAAATAATTCCGAGCCCCACAAGACGTCTTCTATTCATGCTTGCCCTGCCGCAGTGTCCTCGGCTGCCCTGTGAACCCACCGTTTTCTCAGTCTGAGGCCGATCTCGGCGCACGTGGGGCCGACCGACGACCCTCGGCCCCTCCAGGTCGTCGGTCTCCGTCGGCGTCGACGCCCCCCGTCGAGATCGATACACGGAGGGGGGCGTGCGGGGGGGGGGGTACAATGGAGTCGGCACACCGGATGACATTGCAACCGGCCTCCGGTGAGCAGTCCAGCGTGAGAGACCGAGCAGTCTGGTCTGAGTGTTAGAGCGGTTTTCTGTCAGATGTCAGTGGTCCAGAGGTGTGAAGTGTGAAGTCTGGCAGAAGTCTAGCAGGAGTGTGGAGTAGTAAAATTGGTTCTGTCAGCTACCTAAACTTGTCGTGACTCGTAATACAGTCATGGATTAGAAGAGAGAGACACGACTTTTGTGTCTGTAAGTACTGATTGCTTGACGGTTATAATATTTCAGTTGTTTGTAGATGCCAGTCGATTCTATTTTGGTGATGCTCAAAGGACCTTAGGAGGCTTTGTGACTAACACCATGCTTGTAGATAATTTGTGACTTTTCCGCGGTGAGATGTCAGCAGGTTTGTGACATCTCATTACTGCAAATTTCTTGTTTGCGTCGTTTTAACATGTTACTACCCCCCCCCCCCCCTAGTCCAGGATTACACTTTATGTCATCGGCAGTGCAAAGGTCACGCTTATTGTTGTAAACGTTTTCATTCTTCGCTTTCTGAAGTAAAACAGCTGTGAATATGTGTTTCATGTAGTCATATAGTACCTTTTCTCAATGTAGCGAACATGTTTGGTCGTACATGCACGGCGGCCTCTTTTATATAGTTTTATGGTGATTTTATGAGAAGGATTTACTGAAATCCAAGCCCCTGCTGACATCCCTGCTTAATCAACTCCATCGTCGCCTCTATATTCCTCGTTATAAGATATGCCGGCGCCCTACCCTCAGGCCCTCATTTTTATTCTGCTAATCACCATATCCATCAACGATATCTCAGTTTCTGGGGGGAAAGGTTATGGTTAATGTTGATTTTCGGAATTCTGATTTGGTGGATTTATTTGCCGTTATTCCTACCCTTCGTGCTCGCAATGAACCTCTCTAAGTGAGTTAAGCTATTCGCCTGATGACCTTGCATTTTGATTGCGTGATGGGCGACTGATGACTTGAGCATTTCAGATATAAAGTTAGTTAACAAACAATCGAAGATAATAGTTTGCTACCATAATATATCATACGTTTTATGCGCAAAATGAGGAAATTTTTAATTTTCGTATACCCGCCTGCCCCGTCTTCCCCTTCCCTCAGCGCGGCAGGCAGCCCCCGTCACTGAGATTTAACCAGCTGTCGAGTGACGGGCGTCCCCGCCGCTCAGTATATGTTGACCGGTCAGCGGTGATGGACCGGTCTGACCCCAGGCGACCACTCACGCTGCCAGGGGCTATATTGAGACGGACGGTATTTTTGCCACGTCGTAGTCGAAGGGCAGGATATATTTGGACATGGGCAAGTTGCTTGGGGGGGGGAGGTCTCATTGGGCTCTTGAATGAAAGCTGCTAAGAAGGTGACTTGAAAAGTTTGCTGATATCTTTCAGGAGTATGAGTCCTGGCTCTGAAATATCACTCTGATATCTTGCTGGTTGTTCTTTTGTGCTGCTTTCCCTAAAGACAGCCTTCAGTATTTTAGATTGCTCAATAATTCCACGTTTCCATCCGGAAAATTATGCATTTGCATCCACAGCTAGTTTAGAGAGCATTGCAGGCAACACTGTACTGCAGGGTTTTCAACGTATGCTTGCATGCATTTTGTTTCATCTGGCCAAGCTCTGTTGCTCAGAATGTGACAGAACTGGACGCAGATGCCGGTCGTTTCATGGAGCGATGGTCTTACGAACACTGAATAACATTCCTGTTGTTTGGCTAAGCAATAGTTACATCGAGCCGGCTCGGCTGTGCGGAGACCAAATATTGTTACATGATACAATGCCGTCACCATTTGTTGCTGAAAGCTGGCGAGCCGCTGCCTGATGGCGTTACAAAGAGGACGGTGCAGGCAGCGGACTTGCTCCCGTACGGACATACCGTTAGCTTTTGCAGCCAGCTTCTTTCCTCGCCATAGTATCCTTTTCAATACCTCATCGCAAGTCGTCAAGGCGGCAACCACTCTACCACAATCTCGTGCTATGCTTTCTCAGGCCGTTTGTCCTCTGAGCTGTTAGTTTGCGGCACGCAGATAGCTGCTGGTTTTTGAAACGGCTAAAGAGAAAATATGCTGAACGGTAAATAACGCCTGCTGTGTGTCTGTTCTGTTTAAAAGGGAAGCGGCATCTCCTGTAGGCCCACCTGGCAAGCACAAGAGGTTTTCGTAGCAGATGGTATCAGAAAGCGTTCTACGAACTCAAACAATTACCAGAGACTGATCAGAAGATCGGAACAGATGTTGTTATGTCTTTATGGTAATATGGTTTTCATATTTAGCGACTAACTCTTAATTAAAAAAATGATAATTTGAAGCTAACATAAGAAGATACAGGCATTTACATTGTTCGCCGTTGCCACTTCCCTTACTCATTAAAAATGAAAAGAATTGTTCCGCCCGTAACGTCGCTGTAATGCTTCACCACAGATCCTTGGAGCAGACTGTTGCATCAGCTATGATATCACTGAATAAAGGACTCTTGTAATGATGATGCGTATCAGTTATCGCCACTCTGCACAACGGGACCTTTGACTGTTACAAATGAACACATTAGCGCAAGGCCATATATAGTAGGTAGCGACACTGAGCGATTTGTTTACAGCCAGTTTCGATCCCGATGACGCAAATGTGTCGTCACGAGACAAAACAATATGGCCACCTATAATGAGAACCAAGTGCAATAAGTTCCCGGATGTAGACAGCACTGACGTCACCGGGATCGAAACCGACGATATCAGTACTGGACCTATGGCGAAGCAAAGTAGTGACATCCCCCTGCATTAGCGAGTCCCGTGTTCACTAAGCCATTAGCATAGCAATCGGAATTCCTTCCCATCCCACGTGTCACTATATGCAAGCATACTCGTACGTATCGACGGCCGATAGCTGACAATGAATAGGGTTGGGACCTATCTGCATGCTCTGTATGTTTTGGTAAAATAAAAAAGTTCAGAATTTTTAATGATTTAATTTAAAATCACTTTGTTAAAAAAATGTCTAGTTAGTTCAGAAATTAATTATTTGTGGCTGAAAACAACTTGCTTCTGATTGGTCGGGCTAATCATGACGTCACATGTAGGTATATAACTGTCTGTATATTTGGCGCAGTTGAGACATACATTTTCTATGTATTTTCCTATGGTAAATCGGAGTGATTGGTCGTGTTTTCAGTGTGCTCTTTATTTTGCGCTGGTATTGCGTGGCTAAGAAGTTTTATCAAGAATGGCATATACTAAAATGTTCCTTTAATAATGGAGCTTCAATATCTGTGAGTTTTATTGGCAAGCGAAAACTGATTTCGCTGTTATTTTATCTGGAAATTACTCATTTTTTTAGGTCAATATTCAAAATATTTTACGGGAACAAGTTGGCACTTTTCTTGATTTTTGCACTCAAATCGCGTGCGATTCAACTGTATTGGAACTTGCAAAGAAGCTTGGTGATTAATTAACTGTGTTGTTATGGCACTGTTTGCAAAGCATGGATAATGAAACTCTGCCAAAGACTTAGCTACATAGCAATGCCTCAAGTAATACGCAGGAGGGACAGAATTCAGAGTCCGATCGAGAAGAATCGGTGCAAATGCTACGAAGACCAGGCAGCTCTGATACAATAGCTAGTCGTCTCACTACTCTCACTCCATTAGACCAGCTGATTCCTGACAGCACCGACTCGGATGCAAAGATGGAGCTCATCTTCCAAGCCAGAAACCAGTTCTTTGATGGAAGATGTGATGCTGCCTCTGTCTCTGCTTTGTTGGCCACTTTGGACGGGGCGGAGCTCTGCTCCTTGCGTGAGCGGTTATTCGCCTGTCATCCAGAAATAGTTCCTTCGTTTGCTGGCCGTTCCCTGATTAGGTGCAATACGGGGAGCTGTAATCAGGGAAGTAACTTTCCATATGAAAGGGGTGCAGGTGCACCCCCGTCCCCCATCCACTAGAAGTGCACCCCCATAGGCTAAGCGGCGCCCCACACGCCGCCCCACACGATTAGCTCTAGAGCAGATGGCGAGGGTGATTTCCCGGCTACATTCCATCTCGGCGTCGTGATGCTTGTGGGCTTGGAAAGCGTCCAGTCGCATGTAGGGTAGTGTAGGGGTAGGGTTGAGTCAAACTCCGCCCAACTAATATTAATAAACATTACAGCCAAACTAATGGCCTAAATAAAAATATATCTCAAATCCTAACAGTTATCGCGGGTGATGGCGCCATGAGTTGCTATTATCCAAAACAGATGCAAATAAACATGTTTGTATGTCCTATGTATGTTTGTTTTAAAAACGTTGCAGCGGCGCTGGGAACTGCAGTCTTAGATCTGGGTATGTTTGGCATCTGCAACTCTTCATATACACATTAACCCTATTTCGGACGGGGAGGCCTTTCAGGATTTTCTTGTACAATTGCCAAACGCCGCGAGACATTCAGCTCATATTTGGTGACTTTTCCTAAATGCTCATTGCGCACATCTCAGCAAAAAAAAAAATAAAAAAATGCCGGGTCAGGTCAGGTCAGGTAACCAGAGCGGGTTTGTTGACCCCACCTCAGAAAAGTTTGCAAACACGTCAGAGCTTGAGTTTTTCACGAAGTTATTTCCTCTCATCAAGTCTTCAAAACAGTACCTGCAGTATGTGTCGTTTGTATATCTCAGAATTTTTGATCTGTGACCTGAGGTTAGGTCAGAGTCGTGACCTTTTTACATTGCAAGCCTATGGAAAAGTATTGAAATGCGACCTGCACCTCGAGGTAAACGAGTCAAAACCACCCAATTCTTTAAGAATTATGACAAATTATCTTATCTGTAATGATCCAGGTGCCATTTACTGACAGGGACACCGGGGAGGGTTATCTGAGCCGAGATCATGTGAGGTGATATCTACCATACATCAATGCTCACAATACTTAAAATATTGACAATGCTTTTGCTTACAACACTTACAATACTTACGATGAGACCAGCAAGCACTCTGCCGTTACAGTTCTAACTTCTGTTTCGAAAACCGACGTTACACACATTCGCTGCCAGCATAACATGTATTGTTTGACAGTAACAAAATACAATTGACATCTGAACCCCAAACGGACCGCCATCCACTCAAATTTTATAACCCTGACCGGTCAGGGGGCGAATGGAGGTCATCTCCTGGGCATTACACTCAGCCCTTGCACAAAATATCTCACCTCACAGTGATCATTACAACAATAGCACCGACTTGATAGTGGATTTCAAAGTACTTGCATCAGCTCTTCCTGCTATTGCAGACGATCATCTCCTCAGGGTAATGTTGTTCGGGACATGAACGAAGATCGTTTTCGGAGTTTCATAAGTGCTACTGCAACAGCCTGGCACAAAACAGGGCTTGTACGCTCTTCTCTGCACTTTGCCCTTCAGTATATCACAAAAGAATTGTTTAGAATCCATCTTACGCTTCTTTCACAGTCTCCCTTGCCACCGTAGGGCGTAGATAGATTGCTGTTGCTGGTAACTTAAGGCACGGTAGATAGAAATTACCTCGGTTCTCAACACCTTAAGTTATTTTCATAAAAAAGAACAAATAAATGATCAATAAGATGACAGGAATGTAAACATTTTAATCGTAAAGTAGTCCAAATATTGGAATGAGCTTTTGCTTTTCAGCATCCTCCGATTCATCATCTTTATCATTTGAAAATTCGAGGTACATAAAATGTTTATCACGCGCTCAATGTTAAGTGGGAATATAGTACACGGCAGACACATCAATTTTTGACACTGAACATTTCATCCGTAAATGTTTTAGCATAATTTAAAGTTAAAAACAGCGCGAATGGCAGAGTGAAACAAACAACAACTTTCACCCATTGATATAACATGTAATCTGTGGTGCGCCAGATGCGCCATTATTTGTCAACCGCAGAAGGTGACATGTGACGTAACAGCATCAAGAGCATCTTTTTTCAAGAACTTTTCAAAACAAGTTTCCTATCTTTCTTCCCCCATTTCTCTCAGCATATTGATTTTATGAGGCAATGGTATGCACCATAAATTCTGTGAAAATAGTTTGATCATTTTCATGCATTCTTAAAAAATCGAGTTCCCAACCCCATTGTGACAAAATAGCACAAAGACAAAATGACGAAATGACAATAGACAAAATGAGAGCCTAGACAATTTTTACACGCTACACTGCACTCTACACTCCACACAGTCTTCAGTGCTTCATAACAGTCTGGAGTCGAAATGTGTTTTTTATAGTTTGTTTCTTACACATATTTTACTGTTTTATTTGTTGTGTTTATTTGTATGTGTTAGCTTCCTTTGTTGTTGACTGACTAAAGTGATTCAGAAGCCTGAAGTTCTGTACTGAAAAGTATCTTGTCCAGAGATGTGTAGTCAGGTAGATTCTGTTCAGACATGCGACATTCCAAGGATCATCGTCATTCAAATCTAACCGTTTATAAGTGATGTATTCACATCTGGTGAGGGCCCGATCGGGCGACCTATCAGCGGGCGGTGAGGCAAGGTTTGGCACGAGCTACATCGCCTGGTCTGGCTTGATGTCGCGACTCGGGATCTTGTTTACCTTGCTCGTGAGGTGTAACCTTGCCTGGTCTCTAAAGAGGTTATATTTAAGTTCTTGGTAAGAAGTTGCATCAAATTATTTGTACATTTCGTCATAGGTATAAATTAAGAGCAAAACAAATTGCGTGTTTCCAGGCGATTTGTTTGCTCGGTTCATAGTGGGTTTCCTGCTTGTGACTTTGTGAGTCGTGTCAATCCTTGAACCGTGTTTGGATCAAATTAGCTCTCGAACCTATTTGCCCATATTGCCCATTCAAATTGCTATGTCAGCCTGTGACTTTCTTTTTTCATGATATTTCTGTTAACATGCACCCTTTGAATCTCATTAATGATATGCGCCATACCCTACAAAGGCTATGCCATGTCTTTAGTAGGGATGCTTTCAGCACATACAGGTGAAGTAGGCGTTATGAGGTAATGCCTGTTCGCTAATCAAATTTCCATATGAAATAGATTTTGACGTGGGCCTGCCTTTGCCCTGCTATTGGCATCTGATCTGAAGTGAAAGCCGCCAGCTGTCGGTCAACTCTCCGTCCGGTGTTTGCGTGCCTTCCAATTACGTGGCGCATGTCTGACGTGCGCCGCAATTGTCACCAACACGGAACGCCCCCGGCTCGGGCGGCGCGCGCCGGGGACCGCCGACCGTGTCTCCGGTCAGTGTCCTTTTGGACTGTGTCCACCTGTCCTTTAGGCGGACAGGGACACTGGCAGGACACAGTAGGGATTGGGAATGACTGATAGACGGCAAACTCACTTGTGTCTTGTCGACCTTCCCATCCTGGTTTTGTTCAATGCTTTTCGTAATGTCGATGGATGATATTGACAGGGACTGCAGGTGTTTGTGTGTGGAATGCGGCGAGCTTTTGTTTTGTCGTATAATGGGATTTTTGCGACAAAACCGATAACAGCTAAAGCTATCGACTGTCCGACAGGCGAGAGAGACAAAGATCCCTATGCTTGGGCCAGTGAAGGACATTTAGCAAAACAAATCAGAAGGTGCAGGCAGACTATCCGTTCTCTCTCCGTTTTCTCTTGCCACGGCTACGTCTTGCGCTAGCTTCCCGCCATACCCATCTGCTCCAGTAGCTATTATCGCCCGTCTACGCGCCAGTACCTATCGTCCCTTCTGCGCCAATCCGGCGCGGCGGGCTGGTACTACGAACGCAGCGGAGCGCGTCACATTGAGAGTCATCGCGTCACAATGCCCAGCACCGGTGTGATACGAACCGTGACGGAGGCCTGTGACGGCGTCACACGGGGCTCGACCGTCCCGTGACAGTGGCCGTGACGGGCGGGTGGCGGCCCGTCGCGTGACTGGGGTCAAATGTCAGTTCAGTTGTGGGTGGGTCAGTGACACCGAGAGCCACTGAGAGGGGAAAATCGCATGCTATGTGAGCTCCTCCCTTCGTTCGACCAATGAGTGTTCTTTGCCCCAGAAAAAGAAAAGATCATGTGATGTGTTAATTACTCTTCCTTGGCTGGTTTATAAAATGTCTCCGCCACTGAGGAGTAAAATGTCTCGTGCTAATTGTCATGTGACAGGTCACGCATTAATTGATTCGTCTCTCTTCACAGATAACCAGACGTGGCGAAACAGGGACAGGCAGTGGCAAGGTCACTGGCTCCACTGCCGAGCTGTGCCGAGCTCACGTCCTGCACGCTGAGCTCTGAGCTCGTCTGAGCTCCCGAGTTTGGCTCTGAGCTCATCTGGGCTCGTCCAAGCTTTTATCTTCTCTGCCAGGACCAGGACCGGTGAGTTCGTTGGGTCCTAGTTGGGAATGGAGTTGTGGGTTTGGTAGTGTTTCTCACAGGAAGGATTGGTGGGGGATATGATTATCTGTGGACACTTGTATGGCTGAAACGGACAGGCACGCGAGTTCTGGGCGTTGGTTGCTGGGACCCCTTGCGTCATATTTAACACAATAATTTGTTTATCATGTGCTGTCATGTCTTGCTCATGGAAGCTTCAAGTAACGTTTGGTGATGTGGGGGACGCGTGTGTAGTAAGGTTTAACGTGAGAATATGTGCAGACTGTATACAATTCAGGCGTTGTTGCAGCCCTGGCATAGACTGCCAAGCTTATCAACTCGCATCCGTAATCAATGTCGATTATTAGACCTTGGCTTCCGACTTGGCATTGGACAATGGACTGAATGGGAATCGTCATCGATGCTGCACCAACCACAAAAGTAGGAATATAACTATAATATAAGGCAATTTGTGGGTGCACTGTGGCCATGATATCCGTGCCCACTGCTCCCTTCGCCGCCACCCAATACCCGTACACCTGTCCTTGTCCCCATTAGCACCTCATTAGAGCATTCGGTGCCCCCTACCACCGTGAAAGCTCCAGCTGTTCTCACCGGGGCGGATCACCTGCCGCGCCGTGAAAGCTCGGGCCCTGTTTAGACTGCTCTTCACGGATCAACTGGTCTGATAAGGGCCAGATGAAACTGCCAACTCAGCCAAATCGAAGCCCGGATTAGTCCGATGATTGACTGGAAATAGGACACTGATTAGGTGCACCTGAGGATGTATTCGTAAGGTGCTGGACTCACACCGGGCGATTCTGCGCTCTGTTTGGAATTATTTCAAACGCGGCTTAGTCGCCAATGCAAGTCATTAGAAGAGGTGAGCTGTCATCTCGCATGGCCGTAATGAGATGGATGGGCTTAGTTCGTCTGTGTCAACATCGTCTGGAAATTTTCGGTGGTTATAAGACATTCTGGAAGTCAGCAGGTCATCAGTTGGGTGGCCTGCGGCAGTGCGGTGTGGTCCGCGCGGCTCCGTGGTCTCCTGTGAAGGGCTGAAGCTCTGTGGAAGGACTGCTAGTGCGCGGGTGGCGGAGAGGGTGGATATGTGGAGAGTGGACTTGCCGCCTTCGGGGGCCGAGAGGAGACGGAAGAGAAAGGTGAGACGGGACTGCCCAGTGATAGCTAGCTCAATTTGACTGGATATACGCTTACAAGCAAACGATGCCTTTGAGGGAATCAGCGGACAAAACGTGCTAATTTCAACGTTTTAAGTACCTATTTCTACAGTAACGACGTGTCTTTGTAATAGCAGTCTAAATTACGCTGTGCTCAGGCGATATGCGCCAGTACCCAGACTTTCTCGTCCTACACACCACACCGCATTGCTCTGATTTATCCGTCGCCGTCGGACTCCGCGTATAGAAAACCCAAAGGAAGGCGGTGACCAGCTTACTGGACTTGATACCAAACTATGAGTTGGTACTTGTTTATCATCCAATAATGGCATGCATGTGATAATTCTTCTATTTAACGTTGCTGCTGGATAGGTAGAATTTGGAGAGGATTATTTGCCTCTTCGACCTAAATAGCTCTATTTGGAGAGCTCATTCCATATGTCTCTCCGACGACGCCACCATCTGGGTGATATCTCACATCCGTCAAGCGTCTCTCTGCTCGTTTGGTCAGTCCCAGTAGCCGCCCAGTTCAGCTGCACTGTGGGACGCATTTCTAGCGGAAAATTTCTGCATCTGCGCCTGCTTTTGATAATAGCCTCTCTTATTCTTTCGCTGGTGGCCTAATCTTTTCTGTCCCGGATGACATCTCATCCACAATGTCACTCATCCGGTTCCTTACTCACCCTTATCCATTTTCAGTCATCACCATCCTGTCAGCCATTATCCTCTGTCAATCATCTTACATTGTCCTTCAACTATCGCTGAAGCATCTTGAGGTCGCCTTACTCTCGATTTTCGTATTTTCCTATACCACTTTTCACTGGCCTTCAGCCTCCTTCAGTCATCTTTCTCCTTCAGTCGTCATCCATCATCATGTTCCTCCTTTTGCGGTCCATCACTCTTCACTCTTCAGTAACCACACCAGCCTTCCTCGCCCTCCAGTCTCGTCCAGCCGGCGACCCAGAACATGCAGCGCGTGGGGCGCCAGGTGTTGTGCTGTGGTCTCTCTCCCCGTCCGAGCTAGAGGCGGAACGCGGAGAGACGGCGTTCCGGCTGGCTGGCCAGGCTGGAAAGCTCGGAGCCGTTGGAATTGGTCAGTTCATTCGGTGTCTAGCCTCCGCGACGAGCAGACGTGCCTGAAGTCAGTGCTGTGTCCAGCGTGGTGTGCAGTGGTGTTGTGGGTGGAAGATATAGAGAATGGTGGGAGGGCGGCGCTAAGATAAGCTTTCGGTGGCTTGAAAAACAAAAATGTTTGGAAGTCATTTGTTGACTAGCTGCTAATTGTTTCCATTCTTTCGATTTCGACCACCTAAAAAATGCGAGCATTTACTTGCGCTTATTTCAAGATGCTTCAGAGCTCCACTATGTCATTGTCCGATGTTTATCTGGCGTAAAAAATCCCATTTCTTATGTACTACTAAGAATTTCAGTTGTTTATAATTTTCGCTTTCAGTCACTTAGTATCCGTATAGTCCCACCAAGAGCATTTGGTCTTTGCGCCGTCCCTCCTTGAGGTTGTCGGATGATTCAAAGACCGTCAGTTGGACCTTCCGGACCATCTGACAGTCTTTAAAGGTCATCCGACTCTCCTCAGATCCAGTGCCGCCGCGTGAGAGACGTTGAAGCTGAGTGAGGTGACGAGAAGTTGTTGTTGAGCTAGTGAGACGTGCTCAGAGCAGTGGTCAGGATGCCTGTGATGTCCATACGCCGTCAGTCTGACCTGGACTGGGAGGAGCTGGAGGACATGAGGTTCATCCAGCCGTATGTGAGTACCGCCACACGGAAGGGCGAGACATCCTCGTCTGTCAGCTTTCCACTACCTACCTCCCTAGGTGGATATGCCTCGGTTGAGTGATCTTGTGATCCTGTCGATATCATGTGCTAGTGGGGATGTAGAGTGCTGCTCAGTACATGACATGTAGTGCAGGCTCCTTAAGCGGATTTTAGGGAATTTCATACCCCTGTAGCTCTGATGAGTGCGCTAAGCTATGACATTCTTTGTTGCTGGAACTGGTTTGGACGTCTTGACTTGTAATGTGGTTTAAATTGCTCCGAAGGTTGTGTCACCGCCTAGCGTTGACGTCGGAAGAGGCTGCAGTGAAGGTCATCCAATTACCTCATTGTAAAGCTGTACTCCAGTCCCTATATACGGCCTTGCTCCAGTCATGGAAATATTTTTTTTTTTTAAGAAAGCTGGAAGGAAAAGCAAGCTGCTTGATGTCGTGCCAGACAAGCTGCATGATTCCAAAGCGAAGTCAGTTTCCACTTTCCCACTGGCTGTGCGACAGCAGCCTTGGCCGGCTGACTTTCCAGGCGGTTTTCCCACACAATCCACGCTCTTTTCCAAGAGCTGGCGACCGCTGGTCTCGATCTCTGCTCGAGCGTACACCTTGTTTGAGTAACCCTTTATATCCACGACCGCTCTGACCATGAGTCTTTACTCAACCGTGAAGCTGGTATCCCGGCAGAGCCGTTTGTCTCAGTCGCAGCAGCGGAACTCTGTAGCAGATATCCGGCAGTTCATGCCGCTATCTAGCGCACTGGGTGAAGGCGTGTAACCCGCCTCTATTGTTGTGTTTTTGTCAAATCATGAGCCCGTGTATCACGGCGGTCGGAGGCGGGACACCGGCTTTCTCCGGTGGCGATTTACGACTGAGAAGTGACACTAACGTGCCGTGAGCCACGCCGGCTGGTTAAATTAACGGTCGAACGTTAATCACCGCCTTTTATTGAGTTCGAACTGGGCGTGAACATGCTGCTTAAAGGAGTTTCATTAATGGAAAGCCCGATGCGGTTGGAATACGGTTGAATGATGAATGTATTGTATAGGTACAATTATATTTTTATGTGACAACATTGGCCTGTCGTGAAGATTTTTAAGCGAGAAGATATGTTGTATTGAGCATTCTTTCCTGGGTTTATTTGCGTCTTACGGAACTTGTAGGTGGATTCGTGCAAGTTTTTATCTCAAGTTCCTGTGGGCACAGTAGAATGAAATTGAGAGGAGGGAACTCCTCGTTCCCAGTGCACCTTTATATAAGTTCCCACGCCCAGCTGGAGTCCGGTTTGGGGGGTACCTCCACAGTGTCGATGAAATCTAATGATACCGGTGCCATTGGACCGCGTGCCAGAGAGCCAGAGAGGCTGTCAGAGTCCGCTTTCCACCTGGTGGACTCCCGTAGTCCGCCAGAGAGGGATCGCATCGACCCGTTATGTTCCCGGGTGGAACCCGAAACGTGATAACGGCAGGTCTCGCGTTTATTAGGGCTCATGCGCTCATGTGAGTTTTATATTCTTTGTTGTAATTTGTTTCGCTAGGTAATCAATAATGAATGCCTCGGATGCATAACTATTCAGAGTCCTATTATCCCTTCTAGTCCACAATCTACACACCCTCTAGAAAATATCTTGTTCATTAGTCGTCGACTCAAAACAAACTTCCGCGAGCAGTCAGCACCCGTCGGTTTTCCGATGCCTTTTTTGTTACGTCGTTATATCCCATGTTTTGGATCTTTCTTTTGGCGCCGGGAAGCTGACCATTCTCTCTACCTGAACTAAAAGCTCGTAGCAACATAGGACTGGGCGAGCCCGGACCTATTTGCGTCTTCTGGTGATGTTCTCGTAAAATGGTGAGAAATGCATCCTGAACTTAGCCCTCAGGTGAACCAGGTATGCAGGCATCTTCGAAAGCCACTAAGCCGAAAGGCGCTTAGCCGAAAGTCGCTATGCAGAAAGTCGCTTAGCCAAAGGCTCTTACCGAAAGTCAAAAGTCGCTTAGGCTCTCGCCGTAAGTATAGCTGCGGTATACGGGCACGGTATGTCCGAACTACGGCGCCGAGCGTAGGTCGACCCAGGGTAGATATCCCAGAGGAATGGGGGACAGTAGATGTGGAAAGTTTGTCAGCATCCACTAACAGCAGCTGTTCACAGTGTACTGCAATATTGAAGCGTTCCAGAACCTACCCTGGCTACTATATCCAGGGTATATTGAGTGAAGGGTAGGACGAACTTTGGTAGGAATTTCTAGTATAACTACTAGAAAACCTACTATATGTGGTCGGGACTAGCAAAAAGTTAGTTCAAACTAGAATATGGTAGCGCTTATGGTTGGCAGTCGTGGCGCGCACGTGACATTCATTTCTTAAATTTCTTAAAAACAGGTTTTAGGGGCCGATTAGTGGGTAGATACATTCAATTAGCTATTAATAATTGATTATGCAAACATTCAAGAATCTACATCATTCAATTCTAGCCAAAATCACTCGGCGCTCCCAGGATTCGAACTCACGACCCTCGGATCCGTAGCCCGATACGCTACCGACTGCGCTACCGAGGACCGCGCGCCGACGATCGGAGAGGCGGATCGCGGGTGCTGGCGTGCAGAGAAATCTTTACCCTGTACGCCGTGGAAGATCGGCTGGGTTTCGTGAAAAATGGTAGAGGAATTGTCGAAAGAAAATTCATCGATCTATCATTTGAGACTAAGAACCATTGATTCCTTCAAAGGTTGACCGAGATATCGCTCGCCGAAAACAGGCCATTTAACATGTAAACCCTATGGGCTGGTAGGAAATGTACGCCGTGGAGCAGCAGTGCTACCAACTAACTTCGGCGGGGGCCGACTATATCTGTCAAGCTCATGTGGTATTTCACAGGTTCCTATGTCAAAAATTGTATTATTTGCCTTGTAACCGTATCATGTTGAAACAGCTATCACGCCTATATTCTATAGGTATTCATCGACTTGATAAGCAGTCGTGTTGGTTTGTTGTTTATCGACGGTACCTGCGACCTGCGTTGATGTCATGTTTGTGACTGAGTTGTTTGCCGCCGGCGACGGTGATGCCCCATTAGCTCGGTGCGGTCTGACTCGTGTGACACGGGATGGCGTCACGCCACCGGCCGTCACGTGACTCACGCTGTCGTCACGTTACGGATGTGGTCCCGGGTCACGTGACGATGATCGGTGGGTGGGGTGGATGGGCGTGGCTGTGCGGGTTTTCAATACGCCCACAGGCGGGCAACAGCGAAATTATTGACACGACTTATCTGCTTTTTATTTGCGTTATTACGGTGTTGTCGCAGCGATATCATGACGCTATTATCCATAAATCGGTCTGTCTAAATCTCGACCTGTCTTATTTCACACATGTGTAGACTACCCTCACAAAGCCCAAAGGTGAGCAATATTTTGAATTCCTTGACCTATCTACGGTTATAGCCGTGAAGCACTAAGAAGTTTCATCATGTTTGACGGTAGTGCAGCGTTACTTTGATCCAAATGCTTCCTTCGGGGTGGAATGTATGTCTGGTCAAAATTACTAGGTGAAACCAAGGCCATAAAACGGTGAAACATTCTCCCTCGATTGGACATTGAATATTCCTTAGGTTCTGTGCACCAATTTTTAAATCAACTGCTCCCCGCTCGTCCGTATTCTGCACAAGTAGGCCGGGGATGCAGCGAAGCATGAAAAGCAAAGCCAGAGAGCAAGGTTGTGGTCAACGAATGAGCGGAACACTGAGTTGTTCATGCATAAAATAAGCGATGATGGTGGGTTTTCTTCCCAGAGATTTGCGTGCGTTTAATACAAAGCATCACACATGTTGCGCGTTTATGGACTCTTGACTGCCACTCTCACTCACTTTCCCTGCATCTTCATATAAATATCCAAAAGTTTCACTTGTACATCTACCTCCCCCTGGACAATGTGTTTTTAATCTTCCCATACTTGCTCGCCATTTGTTACCAGCCACCCAGACGGCAGATGTGACCCACTACGGAATCTTTAATTGGTGAAACTGAATCGTGAACATCACCTGTTGGACATTGTCTGTGGAGAGATCTGAGGAAGACTGAGAGCTCACACGTTATTGTACAGAGTACAGAATCGCCCAGGGGGAAGGCTGGCAGCACACAGTCCACGCCTCAGTGGCCCACGCGTTCCAACAACGCCTGAGGGAAGGCTCGAGGCGCGCGGCTCACAGTCTCAACTGACATGGTTCATAGTGCACGACTTGCAGCTCGCGACTCTTGCTCTTGACTCTTATTTATTTATTTGTCTGACAAGTCCGGCCAGGTGTGGACGCTAGACAGGCGTAACCCTGAAACAGCTGGAGCGATAGCCACCCGCGCCGATGTTGGTCGACAGCCGAGACTCGAGAACATAGCAGCAGGTGGATAGCTTGTTGGATGGGACATGCCATGAAGGTCCGTTTTGGTCTGCTTTCCTTCCACTTTCACACCGATCGAACTCTGAACATGGATTGGTGTTATGCGACTTTATCGCAACGGGACACCGCCTCTGATTGTAGATATGCAATTTTCGAATTTCGAGGTTCATTAGGTATCATTCTGAATGCGTCTTTACTTTTAATTTAAGCTGAATGATAAATTATATTGTATTAATTTATTTCTCCTAGTTCTTAGATGCTCATGCAACACATGCTTTTAAACACTTACGTCGATGGCGAGGTCTATCCTTGCATTTACTATGTTCGTTCACATTTTTCAAGCATAAAAGTTTCACCACATTTCTTAAGTTGTTTGCCTGTGATTGTTATGCATCTGCCAACTACCTACAGAAAAGTAGGTAGCCACTTGCAACGGATCATACTGGTGCATGCCTACGCGTAGACACTGGGCTCCAATAAGGATCCCTTCAATGTTTCTTTTTCGTCAACTCCAACGTCTGAACTTGAAGGCCGTAACAGACTCAGTTTAGACAGACCCATTCCTCCTCCATTGATGGCTAACACTATCGGGATGAGATATTACAGCCGTTACCTGTCTCCTCCACGACCAAAACAAGCGACGGACACGCTGCTCGTACGCTCACATCCATCAGTCGTGCCACCAGCTCGCTGGCTGCGCCTCTGGCCTCATCGCCTTGTAAGACCGTGTGGCCCAACTTGCCGACCATAAAGGGCTTACCAAGCGCAAGCTACGGACGGGCGTTGAACATGTGGATGTTATACAACACAGCGCTGCATGCCTGATGTGACCAGCAAGACGGTGATGCGACGCGACACGGGGACACGGCACCTCAAGCTATAGCGAACAAAGACAGCTGCGACTCATGTCAGCCTGAGTCACTGCACAACCGCCTGAGTGGATACAACATATACGATGAGCTTTGTTAGAGTGGTGAAGCTCGTAAACTTGTGTCAGCACTAATAAGAGTGAGAACTTTTCACGGCGCGGCGCTTACATGGAATTGGGAAAACCGATGGGTAATCACGGAAGGACTTCTACGGCACAATGGTGACCTTGATTAGGAAGCCATTTCTTATGTTAGATGCAAAAAAATGTGCAGTTAACTTCGCCATTCCTTACAGTTGCATGTAACCATCAATGAAAATATATCCCTCCACATTGCATCCCATCCCTTTCGCCAAGGCCGCGCGAACGTCATTGGAATTCGTTCGTGTACTGCCCTGCAGCGTCCCGCTGGCTGCTCCCGTCGCAGACCGGTCTCTGTGTACACTAGTGGGGTTCTGACCGGACTGTGTGTCTACCCGCGCGGCTGTGCCCAGTCCGCTCCCGGACAGACACACTGTTTGGACGGCTGTAGTGTGTTTATTGTTCGCGCCCCGTCTCCGAGGTACTGGCTGTTGTCGCTCTGTCACTATACAGCGGACGTCTTGAAGGCACGCACCCACGATAGGCTCTGCGACACCCGTAGATACACTGAAGATCGTCATTAAATGTTATATTCTGAAGTGAAAATCAATATAAGGCTTTTTTAGTTTTTTTAAGTGTTTTGTTAAGGAAGGTTTTGGAAGTTTAGGATTTTAAGTGTTTTGGAACATCATAACGTTCACTGACCTCTGATCGTAACGCGTCACTGCTCGCTGCAGACAGACCGGAACTGCCGCCGCCGGAAGCGTCCAGTTCCGGTCACGTGGGAGTGCTTCCGGTGATTGATCACGCAGTCTGTCAGAGTGTGAGAAATGTGCGCGGCGAACAGCTGAGATGTGGATGCTCGAGACAAGTTATATGGGAATCTCTGTAGATTTGTCAATCGTCCCGAGTCTATATGATCCAAGGTTTGTGCCTTGGTCAGTGGCTCCACAATAATGACTACTGCATAGAGCATTGAACTAATTTCATGGTCAGATAAATAAATAACTGCATTTTTGTTTGCGTAGTGATAAGTGAAGCTCTAAATGTGACCGTTCACCCATGAGTGTGGTGTATTGCGTTACCATTGCATTTCATACGTTTCAACATTCGCAAATGTTATCTATCGACATCTCACCCAGCTAATGCCTATCTATCGCCCAAGTACCTACTATTCACTATATTTCAGTGAAGCGTGTTTGTCCCCAGTTCCCCCCCCCCCCCATTTCGATCAGGTTATGTATCGCTGTGCTCCATCCCCTGATCGACTCAGCCGTCAGCACCGTTGGTTCCGCTTCACCGGCCCTGTGACTATGTACTGGCACTACTAGCGTCCGCCGCCTGACCCTCCCCTCCCCTCCTCCCTGTGTCGTTACAGCTGGACAAGATGAACGGCTCCGCTCAGCACGGAGGGCACGGCTCTGGTGATGACGAGCGCGCGTGGACCGTGGGCGTCATCAACTCCCGGGCAAAGTACCTCACCGCTGAGACCTTCGGATACAAGATCAATGCCAACGGTGGGTGGTGGAAGGAAAAGACGGGAAGCGGAACAAGGAGAGTGAGGGTGGTAATCTAGTCTGTATCAATAATAACACATTTCAGATGATAAGACGTGGAAAACTGAGTGTCAAATTGGAGGGTGGTAGATAACCACGAAGCTAAACGGCTAGCACCGAATCGAGTTGGAAAAGCATTTTGGCAGCGGTGGGATTCGAACCCACGCCCTTTCGGACTGGTGCCTAAAACCAGCGCCTTAGACCACTCGGCCACGCTACCACGACGACGGTGCCTGCTAAAACTCAGATCGACCAAACGTTAGACTATTAGATGAATAACCAGTGGTCCTCAAACGATGAAATAGAACACTCAGTGGTCATCAAACGATATCGATGAAGAGCACGCTTGAGCACATCGATCTTAGGTACTCCATGACCGAGCTGTATGGATGTTGGCAATCTGCACAAAGCTAGCTCGCTTCTCTGCGAAGTAAAATGAGCACGACGCGAGGGTCGAGGCATAACATTTTTCTTCGAAAAAAGCGTGCTGCGAAGTGCAAACTCTCATCTATCCCAATTCCGGTACCTACCCCATTGTAAAACAGCGGCACCATTTGTTTCCCACTTCCCCAGGCACCTCTCTGAAGAAGAAGCAGCTGTGGACGCTGGCGCCGGCCGGTCAGAAGGACCACGTCTGCCTGCGCTCCCACCTGGGCAAGTACCTGGCCGTCGACTCCTTCGGCAACGTCACCTGCGAGTCGGACGAGCTGGAGGCGGGCGGCATGTTCGAGATCGCCGTGGCCGACGACGGCAGCGGTCGGTGGGCGTTCCGCAACGTCGAGCGCAAGTACTTCCTGGGAGCGGCCGGAGATAAGCTGCTGTGCAACGCCAAAACGCCGAGCGACGGCGAGCTGTGGTGAGAAATGTGTGAGATGGGGTGGGTGAGAAGTGAAATCTGAGCACATGTTACGCCCACTTGTGAAAGCTTGACAACGTATCTCGCATTGTAGTTGCGTTCCAGGGAGTTATTCATATTGAGAATTGAATGTTTCATTACTAATCGTTACTTGTTGCTTGCAATTCGCACCTTGAAGTACCGTAGTTATGCTGACCTCTCTTGGTTGACCGATTTATCTAGTACCTAATCTTTTCTCTCGTGTGACATCTGACCTTACCCCTCAGGTACATCCACCTGGCGGCGCGACCTCAGGTCAACCTGTACAGCGTCGGCCGGAAGCGGTTCGCGCACCTCTCCGAGGAACAAGACGAGATTCACGTGGACGCCAACATCCCCTGGGGCGAGGACACACTCTTCACCCTCGAGTTCCGTGACAACCACTACGCGCTACACACGTGTAACAACCTCTACCTACAGCGCGAGGGGCACCTGCAGGTGGCGTGCTCCGAGGACTGTCTGTTTGCCATCGAGTACCACAACGGCCAGCTGGCGCTCAGGGACAGGGCCGGGCGGTACCTGTCGCCCATAGGATCCAAGGTGAGTAAATGCTCCCGTATAAATTATAATAGGCAATAAGGTTCATGTATGTACCGGTACTTGTCGCTAAAAGTGGCAAGAGTTGGGTACCCGTCCTCCATTGATCTGAAAGTGGACTAGTTGGACGGTTTGCGGTAGGATTACGATGGGTTTGGTGGGGTCTCGACCAGTAGCGGCGGAACACATTCAATTAAGGGGGCACTGCCGACTTTTGGCACCCTTCTTTCCATGCAACGCCCATAGGTCTCGACTCTTGGTCGTGCGCAAAGGCTCAGCAAAGTGATCAAATGAACATGGCATCTAACCGTATGCGGTAAACGATAACCATGTTTCTAATTTCTTGTGTATGTATTTAGCTTTATCCTATGATAGCTATCCTCCCATTTGCCTGTTTTTTATACATATTGTTCATTCAACTCTTCTTCGGAACGCTTTGTGTGTTGTAGTAATCGTGGACATTCACAAACGCTATCTCTGATTCACAGGCGGTGCTCAAAACGCGTGGCCAGGCTGTGACAAAGGACGAGCTCTTTTCGCTGGAGAACTCTCTGCCTCAGGCGTGCTTCTCGGCGGCGCTCAACGACCGATACGTCAGTGTCAAACAGGGTCAGTGTCAAACATGCAGCAAGTGTCTTGTAAGGTATACCAAGCAGAAAACTAAAATTTACTCGTCATAGTTGAGATTTATCCGTCATAAAGCGATTTGTCATCCGAAACCATGTTGTTATATTCATTTTAGCTGAGCTATGACATACTTCCCTGCTTTATTTCAATTTAAATGTATCTCGCAAATAAAATAAACTAGCGTGAAAATTTGAGGCAAATCACATATACAACGGTTTTCTGTATAACCTATCCACGCACCGCGTTTTCTTCCTTATTTCTTTTCTCACTTTGCGCGCCTGACGCTGACCTAACCACCCTAACGTGCCGCCCCGTGCTGACCCATCCCGCTCTGATCTGCCCAAGTCTGCTGTGCTGCCCTCTGCGCTGAACGCTCCCCTGACCCGCACTCCCTGCCCTCCTCTGCCGCAGGTGTGGACCTCACCGCTAACCAGGCCGAGGTGAGCGACCACGAGCGGTTCCTGATGGAGTTTGACCCGACCACCCACCGCTGGTACATCCGTACCATGCAGGACAAGTACTGGACCCTGGAGACCTCCGGAGGCATCCAGGCGGCCTCCGGCAAAAAGTCAGTCAATACGAGGGATGGGGGATGTTGGGGTTGAGAAGTGTGTAACGGCAGATGTGGTTCGTAAGTTCGGAGGAACACGGGTCGTAGGCATGTGTTCCTCCGAAAGGTATGTATGCAAGCTGCTTTAGGTACCTGTACGGGTATTGTGGTAACTTAAGATTCCCAGTTTTACTTTGTCAATCTATGATTCCCTACTGTAGAATAAACGTTGTTACTTCTTGCCATGGTTTACGACAGATATCTGTCAAATCGACGCCCGGCTGTTGGCTGCCGTTCCGTTTATCCATCTCCCCTGTCTATCTGTTCCTTTATCACCACGGTTAGCCGCTGACGGCCTTTACAGCTCGAACCACCGGAAGGGTCCTCACAGAGAGAGGATAGACCGTGCGCCGCTGAACGGGGAGGTCTGGTGGCGCGCTCAGCCCTGTAAACAGAACCACCTCTCTCAGTATGTGCCGACTGAGCTGTCGTCCAGTCAGCGTGTATTGGTGGATTTGTCGGGTGTCGTGTGGTGTCCTTTTACCAAGGCAGTTTTCAACGTAACCCTTGTCCATTGAGCTTTCCTCAGTGTGATAGCCACTGAGACCCCTATTTATGGATGACAAGAGTTAAAACCTTGAGCGCAATCCAGGTTTAGATAAAAAAAGGGCGGTCCAGCCCCGAGTGTCCTCGTCGTTTTACTAATCAATCAGCAGCCGGTCGCCAGGTCATGACACGGTATGTGCATTGTGCATCAACTAGCAATCAGACGCGCTGATTGGTGCAATTATTGTGCTACCTTTTGTCCCTCCCCCCCCCCTCCCAGCTTATTTGCCCTATTTCATTGCGTTGTCATTGGTCACTTTTTTGACGACCTTGTGTATGTTACGCTGTACGCATTTCCTTTTGTGTCTAGATACGTATACCTACGTCTGTTGAAACGCCCGATGTTCACGTGGACTTAAATGAATAATGTTTGTCTCTGTGTGTCCAAGAGTTTTGTCGATTATCTCTTACGCTATAAGCTTGCCTCAATAACTGAACTTCCGTATCTCATTTATGCATCTGAACCATTAACCCGCGCACCGACTCTGCGCCAACTTAGTACCGACGGGGGGGGGGCGGATGACCGCCCCCCCCCCCTGAGATCTCGAGAACGAAGCAAGATAGCGACAAGCGGTAAACGGCATCGGATACGCACGGACAAGGTCTACAATTTTTACTAAGGTCATTTTCAGGTCAGGTCAAAGATGACGTCACTGGGGTCGAAAAAGTCAAAATGGCGGCACTAGATATGGAGAGGGTTTTTCTCGAATAACTTTCGAAGTAGTCAAGATAGGAACAAACTAAGGGCATCATCGTGATCCTCTCGTCAATCCGCATCGAATGATATATATGTTGACCTCGAAAGGTCAAGGTCAAAGGTTGACCTCAGGTCACGTGACCTCGAGGTCATCATGTATATCATTCGATGCGTCTTGACGAGCTGAACACAATGAAACCATCCGCGCGGCTGTATCTTGTTCCTGTAAGGAGTTATTGGCAAAAAAACCTTTGGTGACCTTTGATGACGTCACATGACCTTACAGCTGCCCAACAGCAAGACAGACCTCAAGGTAGTGAAGGTTGATCGTATGTGAAGTCATGTATGGTATATGGGGCCATTCCGACCCGTTTTAGTGGTAAAAACAGGGAGTTGATTTTTCCCCCATTGACTTATAATGGGGAGGTCGCGAAATTGACCTGACCTTAGGTCACCGACATCAAACTTCCGAGATATACAAATTGTAGCTACTAATGACCTAATAACATCCTGCGACTTTCAAAGGCCTCCGACATCTACTGTAGCTCTGGTACAGTGACAAAGTTGCAAAAAAGTGACTTGAGGTTGGGTCATTCAAAGTGACCTGGTGACCTGACCTTAAAAGTTAGGAGGTTCAAACTTGCACACCATGTGTAAAATTGATGAGAGAATAGTCATACCAAGTTTCGCGGCGCTACGCGCCGCGGTTTTCCCGCTATCCGCGAAAAACCTCAGGGGGGGCGGATATCCGCCCCCCCCGTCGGTGCGCGGGCAAGCTTCGATGAATTTGAATCAGTATCTCAGTGAATCACCAACTTGACTAACTTCTCGTCCTGTGCCTTTGCCTTCCCCAGGACGTCCAACAGCCTGTTCGACATGCTCTGGCACAGCGACGGCAGCGTCTCGTTCCGCGCCAACAACGGCAAGTGTCTGGCGGCCAAGAAGTCGGGCCACCTGTTCGCCAACTCGGAGGAGAATGAGGAGGCGGCCAGGTTCTACTTCTACCTCATCAACAGGTGCGGGCCGTACGGAACCAAATGCAGAATACATGGCATATTGCCGGGGATGCGAATGAATTTTGGAGAAAACTACTCTACCTTTTCAGGCCACCAAGAGGCAAATGTTTTTAACATAAAGATGACACAAGTTATAAAAGTGAAATATATTGGTCGGTTAACTCAGTCCTGGCATTTAAAACCAAATGAGTTTCTGGGCTTTTCAGGTAAATACACGAGTAACGGCTCTTTTTATATATTTTGCTTCAAATCTCTTGATGAGCAAAATGGTACTTACTTCTTCATCAACCATTTGATGAAAGAAACTCTCCAGTCCTTTGTTTTGTTACATGGTGTCATAAAGAGACACCTTGACGGCGACGGTTGACGGTGTGTGACCTTTTCAGGCCGATTCTGGTGCTCAAGTCGGAGCAGGGCTTCGTAGGCTACAAGACGGGCAGCACTAAGCTGGAGTGCAACAAGGCCACCTACGAGACCATCCATGTGGAGCGTGGAGATCGCGGAAAGGTGTTCTTCAAAGGTCAGTCAGGTCATAGCGAGTAGAGGGGTGTTGTAGCGTTCCAGACTCTCCGAAACTGATAAGTCATCATTTTGGGAGGGGTAAGGAGTTCTCAATTAGGATGTTAGTAGCTGTTGCCTAGTGCCTAGCGATTAATTGCAAAAAAGGCGTCAGGGCTTAAATAGAATCGCGAAACGGTGATATGAAAGTTTTCGCGGCCTAACTAATTTTGTGGAATGCATTTTCTGACACTCAGCCAAGTTGTCGATATACGCTCTCAGTTTTTTTTATAATCATTTATTATTTTTGTTCGGACTGGAGTTGGAATTATTAACCCTCGCCGGACCTATTGGTTTTCTACATACGCGCCGGCCGAGGGGGGGGGGCGGGTACGACCCCCCTCGCCGTTTCGCCCCTGGTGGAGCTAGCGCGTCGCGGAAAAAACGAGCGTGTGCGCCGTTACGAGACGCAGAGATTGGTACCCGATTTTAAGGTCCTAGGTCAACCGGTGACCTCTGAGGTCAGGTCAAGTGCCCCGAGGTACGGTTCAGTTTTTGGTGAATAACTTCGCAAAAAACGGCCGCAGAGCGCCGATTTTGGCAGCATCGTGTTCGTCTCGCTCAGGCGCGTCGAATGGTATACTTTTTGTCCGGGTCAGGTCAACTTGGGGTGTTGACCTCAGGTCAAGGTCAGGTCAGCACCCCCAGGTCACGAAGTTGGTCGAAAGAGGTCATGTCGCATATCATTCGATTCGGCAGGTCTTCCTGAGTCCATTGGTGGCTTTTCCGACTCGCTAGCTCAATTTGATCAAGAGTTATTGACGAAAAACTAATATGACCTTGATGACGTCATAAATGACGTCACGCAAGGTCAACATTGCAAAAGTGACGCATCTAACCTTGCAAGGAGTGCATAAAATCACGATTCTGTGTGCTTGAGATAGTTGGAGATCGTTCCCGGCGCCAGAATAGCAGTTTTCATTTTTCCCCATTGACTTATAATGGTGAGGTCACGAAAATGACCTGACCTCATATGACCTTTAGGAAAAATCCGAGATATACAAATTGTGGGACTCATAATGGATACTAGATCCTGCAAGTTTCATTTCCCTGTGACATCTCCTCTGGCAGTGAGGGCGTTGCGAAGTTGCGACATCTGCAGACCGTGCAGAGGTTCACTTATGACGTCATAGGTCAGTGACCTGACCTGACCCAAAAATGCGGTTGGTGTCAAAAGATGCGGCTTGGATCAAAGGTCAGGTATGCCAAGTTTCAGCTCTCTATCGCCAGCGTGTTCGGAGCTATCGCGAAAAAACCCTATGGGGGGCGGCACCCGCCCCCCCCTCGGCCGGCGAGGGTTAAGTTCAGGCTAGGTCCCTTCCTTGACTGCTTTTGTTTGTTTGTTTGTTTGTTTGTTTGTTAGGTTAGGCCTTTTCGGTCCAATTAGACCATTTCAGAGCCGGAGGGATGATAGGATTTAGGGGGAGACCTTGGTCTGGGCAGACACCCTAGAGAGTCGCCGGGGCTGAACCCGTCCGAATGGACAGGCCGACCAGCCCCCCGCCCCCAAGCACTCTGCATCCGGCTACGGGGTGCGCTCCCTTGGGAGCAGCGGTGCCGCTCCAAGGGAGCAGCCCGCATGAGATAAAGGTGCATGTTCAGCTCCCGGTGGGGGTTGCGGCGTGGAGGAGAAGGATTGCAGTATCCTGAGGATGGAAACGACGGAACGGAGGATTGACCGCACCTTTCTTGGTCTTCACCTAACGACCTCTGCCTGTGTTCCCGCAGCTCAGAGCGGCCTGTACTGGTCACCTGAGGACGGCATTTCGGCCTCGAGTCGCGAGCCGTACCCCTTCTACATGGAATTGCGCGAGCCCACACGCATGTGCATCAAGGACGCGCACGGATCCTACCTGTGCGCCCAGAAGAACGGCTCCTTCCGGCTGGATACCACCGACGTGGAGCGCGCCACCTATTGGGAGTTCTAGGCGACACAAGCGCCGCCTATATTATTTTCTATTGGACGTATGCGCCACCTACTGTGTGTTTTAGGCGGCGCGTTTGAAAGCAGAGCGAGCCACGATGCAGTGGCTCTGTGGACTGATTTGGTGCCAACTGTGGGGCGGAGTGGTTCGGAAGCCGGCGAACGAGGATGTGAGGGACCCTAAGTGAGTCCTAAGTGAGGAAGACTGGTGACTGGTGATGTCACGCTGTATGACGGGATGTGGGTGTGACGTGACGCAACGGGGTGATGCGTGACGCTGACAAGTGGATAATGTCACAATATCGCTACGGTGTGCAATGTGCATTCCCGTCGACATTTTATGATCAAAGTGCGGCCTGGGTGGCGCTGGAATGACTGAGTCGATCTGATGTGAGGATCTGTGTGTGCTACTGAATACTTTCTCGAGTGAGTGCGGGGCGCCGCCTCCCGACTACCCTCGATCCCAGCTGCTTTTGTACGCCCGTTATCAGCATAATACTGAGCGAGCGCTCCGCTTCTTACGCTGGGCTGTTGTTTTGATACTTTGTGTACATGTACAGACGTAGGCGTTTGTCTAGCACGCAGCATTTAGCGTTTGAAACCAAAGTGGGCGCTGCGATTAAGTTATGCTTCCCTGCGCGGCTGTTCGCGCGGAACTGCTTGTACACATTCAGAGCTGACGCGTGAGGCCGAGCGTCCATTGCGAATGGCAGTCGTCTTTTGTTGACCGGCGTGGTCGAATGGTCATTTTGCCGCAGTTGCAATCGTCGCTATGCTGTAATCAGTGCGCGTTACACCAATACACAGCTAATGGTCATCGGGTGTCATATGACACATTCCAACCTGCTGGTGTTGGGTGGTGCTACTGCTGTCAGTCAATGGTGATTTGCGGAACCCGATAGCAAACTAATTACCGACCAAAGCTACGAGAAAAATGGGGAAACCAAATTAGCCAAGAGGGATGAATGAGAGCAACACTAGCTTTTTACCGACTTCCGCACATGATGTGCATTACCCATACTGAGGCAGTGAGGCTCAATAAACCAACAAAATGTCACAAGCTTTGAAAGGTTTGAAATATATACCAAGTGCGAAGTTGGTTTTTGTTTGGTATCGGTATACGACACGTACCAATTAAGTGTTGGCCTCCAGTCGACAATTCTCTCGATGTCAAGGCGTCTTGTGACAGCGGTTTGTCTACGTCACGCCCACAGAAGTTAGCCCTTGTCGGACCTATTGGTTTTCTACATACGCGCCGACCGAGGGGGGGGGGGGGGGCGGGTACGAAGAACACCTCCCCCCCCATCGCCGTTTCGCCCCTGGTGGAGCTAGCGCGTCGCGGAAAAAAAAACGAACGTGTGCGCCGTCACGAGAAGCAGAGATTAGTACCCGATTTTAACCCGCGCCTCAGTGGCGGTCTCCGCCAACTTCGCCCTGGTGGGGGGGGGGCATATGTTACCACCCACCTCTAACTCAAAAACTAAGAGGGCTAGAAAGTAGAGCAATATTGGGGTCACCAGACGTCATCAAAGGTCAAAATTTGCGAATTGTCATTATATTTTTCAGAAAACATGCCATTATCTCAGGAACTATCATAGCTAGAAAAACGCTGGGAAAAGCAATCGATAGCTTTTGAACTCTTCTTTTGATAAGGTCATCATAAAAAATGACCTCAGGTCAACAGTTTAGCCTCCAGAGGGCAAAAACTCCAAAAATAGCTGTTTTCAAGAAAAGTGTTTTCGACAATAACTTTTGACTAAAAAAAAGGCTAGGTCATTTCTAATGCCAGAATCGTGTTCCTCTCGCCGAGACGCGTCGAATGAACTATAATTTGACCTTAAAAGGCCAACTTCAAAATTTGACCTCAGGTCAAGGTCATGACCTGACCGGAAAAGGTCATGTTGCATATCAGTCGATGCGTCTCGGCAAGACAAACACAATGAGGCCAACCCCAGCGTTCTATCTTTTTCCAATCGAGAGTTATTGGCAAAAAACTGTTTGTAGCCTCAAATGACCTCGGATGACCTTTCAAGAGGCTATCAGCAAGCTACCCCAAGCGGCGCGGCGCTAAGCGCCGCGGTTTTTTATTTATACGAAAAAAAAACGCGACAGGGTGGTAACATGTGCCCCCCCCCCCCCCACTGGGGCGAAGGTTAAGGTCCCAGGTCAACCGGTGACCTCTGAGGTCAGGTCAAGTGCCCCAAGGTACGGTTTCGTTTTTGGTGAATAACTTCGCAAAAAAACGATCGCAGTGCCGCGATTGTGCAGCATCGTGTTCGTCTCGCTCAGGCGCGTCGAATGATATACTTTTTGTTTGGGTGGGTCAACTTGGGTGTTGACCTCAGGTCACGGTCAGGTCAGTGCCCCCAGGTCACGAAATTGGTCGGTAGGTCATGTCGCATATCATTCGATTCGGCATGTCTTCCTGAGTCCATTGGTGGCTTTCCCGACTCACTAGCTCAATTTGATCGGGAGTTATTGACGGAAAACTAATATGACCCTAATGACGTCATAAAGACGTCACGCAAGGTCAACCTTGCACAAATGACGCATCAAAACTTGCAAGGAGTGCATCAAATCACGATTATGTGTGCTTGAAATAGCTGGAGATCGTTTTCGGCGCCAGAATAGCAGTTTTCATCATCCCCGTAGACTTGCACCTAATGGTGAGGTCACAAAAATGGCCTGGCCTCATATGACCTTTAGGAAAAATCCACGTTAGCAAAGTGTTAGACTCCTAATGGATACTAGGTTCTGCAAGCGTTATTTCCCTGCGAAATCTCCTCTGGCAGTGAGGGCGTTGCGAAGCTGCGACATCTGAAGACCGTGCAAAGGTTCACTTATGACGTCCTAGGTCAGTGACCTGACCTGACTCGAAAATGTGGTTGGCGTCAAAAGATCTGGCTTAATCAAAGGTCAGGTGTGCCAAGTTTCAGCTCTCTGTCACCGGCGTGTTCGGAGCTATCGCGAAAAAAGCCTATGGGGGGGGGGGGAGGTGGCGTCACTCGCCCCCCCCCCTCGGCCGGCGAGGCCCGGAGGGTTAAGTTGAAACGACTCTTTAGTGCCCTGGTTAAAACAACCCTCTCACCAACGGACGAGCTGATTGCTGAGGCTTGAGCATGCGAATTGCGAAATGCATTTTAGTTCCTACACCGTGTGTGCTACATACAGTCACTATCTGAGCTGAGATATCCCTCGCCGGCACAGGCCATTTTGAGTCCTTCGACGGCACAAGGGGTTGGGGGGTTGGTACGATCCCCCTCGCGTTTGGCCCCTGCAGGGAGAGAGCTTCATGATGAAGCTCTAGCTCCATCATGATGGAGCTAGAGCTTCGCGGAAAAAAAACGAGCGTGTTGCCCGTCGCGAGAGGAAGCCAATGATAGGTACCTACCTTATTTTAAGCCTCGCCGGCACAGGCCATTTTGAGTCCTTCGACGGCACAGGGGAGGGGGGGTTGGTACGACCCCCCCTCCTCGCGTTTGGCCCCTGATGGAGCTAGAGCTTCGCGGAAAAAAACGAGCGTGTTGCCCGTCACGAGAGGAAGCCAATGATACCCAATTTTAAGGTCGTAGGTCATTGGTTGACCTTCCAGCTCAGGTCAAAGACCCAAAAATCGGGAATATCGGGACCTGTTAAAAAGTCGTAAAGCGTGGCTGCTCTGCTAAGGGGTTTTCCGGGGTGCTGATCACGAATACCGTGCTAGTTTTAATCACAGATGATGTCGTTAAGCGTTTAGACCAGGTCAGGTCAGGTCAGGTCAGGTCAGGTCAAGTCAACCGGTAAGGGTCGTGACGGGTATTCGTAGTACCTGTCATCCGCCTCTGACAGCTTCGTAACATGTTACGAAGGCACCAAAACTACTTCGTAAATGTCCAAATGGTTGCTAAATTCGAATTCAGCTCCAAAAACTTACCTAGAAACATGTAAAATTCGAAAAAGTGAACCGAGGTCACCAAAGGTCAATGACCTGACCTGACCTTCAAGTGACCTTGACACCCACAAAAATGCATGGGAGCAACATCAAATCACATGTTTGAACGTTTGAAACCACGAAAAACTTGCAAACGTGCGGCTAATGCGAGTCGACATACGCCGAATCGCGATTCCGGCCAGATATGGTCACGGAAAAGAGGTCACAGGTCAAAGGTCATTTGGGTCAGAGTCATGAAATTTTCAGGGTAGTTGTAAAATTGAATAATGCGAAGGTGCTGAAAGCTTCGTCGCGATCGGTCGCTTTTTACGCGAGTTATTAGCGAAAAACCTTAGGGGGTGCATCAACCCCCCCCATTAGCGTCGCCACGGGGGGGCAAGCGGGGCAGCTTGCCCCCCCCCCCCCCAACCTCGGACCGGGCACCCCCTGAGATCGATACAGATCCGATGAGATTTTGGAGTCGGGAAAAAAATTGGGGTACCTTTCTGAGAATGTCTGTGAGGTCAGACTCGGTTGGAGCGTGCAGTTCAAACCAGAGTCTGACTCGCAGTCGCCAAATCTTCAAGACTCCGAGTCCAGACTCGGAAATGTCAATGCTGTGATTCATTCCATGTTCCTAGTTCGTTCTTTATTACATTTTACAGCTGATTTTCATAACTTTTGGAGTGCTGACACAATTTTCGTTCAAAGCGTGAAACGAAATCTTCGGGGCCTTTCTCAACTCTCGTCAAATGTCTGCGACAGGCTCAAGTACCGTACAAGTGTCGCAGGGCTCATGAGCTTGCTTTAAACAAAGGCTCCTAGGGAGCTCCACTGCAGGGGCGGCGGATTTGGGGGGCAGGGGGGCAGCTGCCCCCCCTGGCAAACTCGTGGGGGGGCAAAAGTATCTTTTTGCCCCCCCCCCCCCCATAATTTGTGACAAAGCTTAGACAAGAAACCATGTACCTGATTATTCTGTTCGATCATCTGAAGATGTAACCAGATGCCCATATACTTTATCATTACGGAGCGAGCGAAGCGAGCGTAGTCTTTCCTTAGATTAACGGAAATTTCTGAGTATGAGCGGCCGGCCGGCCGGCCGGCCGTGCGGACGCTTTTGCGAGGCTTATATCTCAGCAACCACTTGACCGATTTACACGGGGTGATTTTTGTAGGGTAGCTTCATTCCTTCTACCAAGTATTGGACTATTCCCGATGCATGTGGATGACCCCTCACTGAAAAAAACTTACTCCCCATTTTCTAATTTTAGAATGCCAAAAAGCACTCCTGCAATCGAATAATTTTATGACCTGGCATAAGCGCCTAAAATGGGGAGTTTTGGGGAATAAAACTAGCATATAGAATATATTTAGTATCCGAACGCTTATATTATTCGCGCTAGGGAGTAATTTTATGACGGAGGACAAAAGTATGCTATCTTTGGATAAAATTACACCAGATGATAATTTTATTAACTTAATACTAAAATTACTCCCGTTCGGGGAATAATATTGCCATGCCAAAAAGCACTCCTTTTTTCGATAATTTTACCCCGGAGTAACTCCCCGGTAAAATCAAGCCCCGGTGTAAAAGTACCACCCCTGATAATGCGGGGTGATATGATAATATTATGACCAAGTGTAAAATAAGGAATGCATTTAAACAATGTATTGAAACACCAACAATTGATTAACGAATGGTACCTGAGCCAATGAGCATCAGCAGGTACATCTTAATTTGGACGCACTTCCAGTGATGGCGCATTGCGGCCGACAGGGACGTAATTTTGCTTCCTAGTTGAGAAGCGGCGTCTCAACTGGGAGGCAAAACTTCGTCTCTGCCGTCCGCAATGCGAAATCACTGGAAGGACGTTCAAGGTCACAACTCACAAGGGCGTTATGGTTAA